TCTGGTCTTTTTGTTTCCTTTTTATTGTCTCTTTCGAATAGTGTGTAGATGTTGTTTATCTCTATGTGCCTGTGGATGGCTGCCTTGTCTGATTAAAGCTTCCAGAAATTCCCTTGCATTTTTGGATTTAGCTTGGTCTAAGATGCTGACAGTTTCCCAGCTGAAACTGTGGTTGAGTCTGTGTTGTGAGATTAAGGGCTTTTCATTGTGTCTTCTGACTGCTAGTTGGTGCTCATGGATGGGCTCTGCTAGCCTTCTGCCTGTCTGTCCTACAGAGTGGTTGTTGCAGTCCTTACATTACAGAAGTTGGCAAAACTTATTAGACACAATGGATCAATTCACCCAAAAAAGCCAAACCGTATTTGTTCCTGAGCCCCTCTTTTCCCCTGCCTTTTCCACCACATTTTCTGGTTTTGAGGAAGCTAAAGCTGTCCTTGTCTCAAAACCTGGTAGACCAAGATAAGTGTAAAGATATTGCCTGTTTGTAAAATAAATTGCCAACCATGACCTGAAGTGAGCTTTCTAATGCTTCTTTATGCAAACCGTAGTTTGCTCAGTTCAGAGGTCAAGTATGGTTTGTTGTGAACAAGGAAGGAACTGGAGTGTGTTTTGTGGAGTGTTATCAAGTGAAGTTTCTGAAGAGACTTCAAAGGGAGCCCCAAGGAGAACATGCTGCAGGAGTCTGACTGCAATGTGATCAAGGCATGAGCACCATTAGACAGAGGAGAAAAATAAGATCAAGCATGCTGCCTGGGGAATTCTGGGAGTTGAAGCCCACATGTCTTATAGTTGCTGAGACTGAGAAACACTGATCTAGATCAAGGACGGCTACCAACAAGCAAGCGATAAAGCAAGCACTTGTTTCTGATTTGGCTTCTAAAATACAGCTTGAAAGGTTCCTCCAGCTAGACTACAATGTTTAGCTAGTCTACAATTAGTCTCAAATTGTATCTCTTTTTCCATGTAAGTTCCCTTTCCTATGCTTTAATTTAGATTCCTGGGTTAAACAGTGGGTTGGACTCTATATATCTTAAAGAGTCTCTTCAAGTTATTTGGCTTGGTTTTCACATCCCACTCAACTTCAGTTACCAAAGCCATCAAAGATAAACCACATGGTGGCTTGTAATGATGGTCTGGTTTTCACAACATGGTATAACAATGGCCAGGTTCTTACAATTCACTGAGCTTCAAACAACCAAACTCATTTGAGCCAAGCCTATTTTGTCCAGCCTTCTCTTCCTTACCTAATTCATCCTCCTCCCCTTTTTTCAAAGGAGGTTACAGATCACAGAAAGACATAATTCAACCCACTGTTAAATGTATGTTTCGCTGTACATTATTCAGTATAATTTAGGTTTCAACAGACTGGATGACATTTCCAAATGGAAACCATAGATCCTGCAGCCAGCTGTTCTACTATATTACAAGGAGCAATAACAGCAATGGCTGTTAAAAATATGTGATTATAGAATAAGTGCACCAACCAAGCAAAGGTTCAAGAATTTCAAGCATGTAATAACAAATAAAAACTTTGCAAGCAAGTGATACATAATTCTCCAGTTACTGCTAACATCTAAAGCAGTGTTTCTCAACCGTGGCCACTTGAAGATGTGTGGACTTCAACTCCCAGAAGTCCCCAGTTACCATGTTGGCTGGGGAATGCTGGGAGTTGAAGTCCACATAACTTCAAGCTGCCAAGGTTGAGAAACACTGATCTAAAGTAGACAGAAATATAGGGCTGATTGTATGGAACTTCTTTATCCCAGTTAGACTATTGGTTAATAAATTTACATCCTCTTAGCAGTGGAGCTTACTGGAGCTTGAATGCAAGATATGTAGCAAACGAAACCTTGTTCTACATTCATTCCAAACAAAGGGGCCGACCCTTCTACAGCTGGATGCTCAAAGCCAACTCACCTTTTTAAGCACCTTCATGGCAAATATTTTGCCAGTATTTGCCCCCGTTACTTTGCGAACTTGGAAAACCTGCCAACGCATTTTGAAAAGAAGCAATATTAAATACTTTTTTTTCAAAAAAAGATTCACACTCACTGCAATATTTGGTATTTTTGATCCTTCCTTTAATCAGTGAATAAGAAGTGGTCAGGGTTCACTATCTGAATGAAATTAAGCGAGCCACAGATAGCACAAGCAAGTTTTCCCATAAGCCTGGGCTTGCACCATTCGGCAAGCTGCAAGTTCAAACTATCACTCTGAAATAATAAAAGATTGATAAAGCCAATTTATAAGTGGTCCTTTTATAACAAGGCTCAGGGCAACTTATAATTTCATGAATGGCAAATACCGTTTGAAATGAAGAAACAACCACTTCTGTTTGAAAATATAATGAAAAAGACGGGGAGGTTATGACAAGCATACACAGTTGCAATAACTGTGGAAGAGCATATATTATGAAAACAACAAACCAAAGGTCAGCCTCCTGACCCTTGCTCTGAGTTCATCTGTGTTTTTGTTTTTATCTTTTAAGTTACCCAGGGAGTCTGCCATAAAGCAGTGTATAAGCCAGCCTGAAGAAATACAGAGGAGATTGCTAGAAGGTGCTGGGCCACAAACTACAGCTGATTTACAGAAAATCACTCTATTGGCACAGCTCAGTCTGTACTGTCTACACAGCTTGACAGGGAGCTTTTGAGATCCTATTCTGAGATTCTCAGGATTGAATCTTTGTTTTCCTGCATGTACAGGGCATGCTTGACCCCCAATCTGTGGTCCCCCCCCATAAAGATTCCAGTCATCATGCTCTGATTAAACAACCGAGGCAGAAATATGGGACCTTGCCATAAACCAGCAATCCACTGTGCTCACTATGGCCCGCTGCACCAGGAGGAGACATTCCCAGGCCCACCAGAAGATGCCGAAGTCTGATATTTGGAAGGAAAAGATGTGCTAGGCCCATTGATGTAAAGCCATAAGGAAAAGAGGAGAAATTCTCCACAAGAGGCATCTGACACAATGGCCCTTGCAACAGGGCTTCTTACCTTCCCGTAGCCCCCTTTGCCAAGAACCCGGAGCAGCTCAAAGCACTCTGGGCGGATCTTCTCAGGACCTCTGTTTACACTTGTTTCTGAAATCTCAAATTTCTCACAATGCTCCATGCCACTAAAACAGAACCAAAAAAAAAAATCAGCTTTTAAAATAAGACTAGCAAGGCAACCCTACCTATTTTTTAAGGCCTTCAACACATCCATAGCCTAGCAAGAGAAACATTTTCATCCTTTTTACAGAAACAATTTTAAACAGAAATTCCTTCCCCCAGCAAGCAAATTAAACATGACTAAAACAGTTTCAAGCCTGGATTTCATCAATCCCAATGCATGATCTGTAACACAGGATGAAAATGCAGCATCTCCAAAAGTGGGTGCCCATTTTGCTATCACTTCCTCATTATGTTGAGGAAGTTTCTGACTACTGCGAACTGAATGAGTATCTCCATCCCAACCAGTAGGATTTTAAGTTTCAGGACTTACAGCTCGTATGGGCTGACTCCCCCATGGTCCATACTTTCACTTAAGTGACCCTAAAACAAAATAGTGGAAGAAAAGTAACTACATCATTGTAAACAAGAATTATTTAGAAAGTGCAATAAGATTTTGCTTATACATTAACCTGAGTTTTAAAGACTGATAGCACCACAAGGCTGCAGACCGATTTTACATAAGTCCTGTCAGCAGAAAGATATGGCAACCACATGGGTAGTTCTAAGGGAGAATTGCCAAACCCTTTGAATTGTAGCACACAGATTCAGCAGTTTTCAAGCAACTGTCCTGTAACTCGATTGTGCACAAATCCTACAAACAGCTGGAAAAATAGTTTGGAAACAAAATGTTCTCAACACACTGGTGTTAACATAAATGAAAGACTGCAAAAAAAAATGCGCTACAAAATAATTAATTTTAGGTTTGTGCAATTCACCCATACAGTGAAACTCTCGTGTCCCTTCCTGACCAGAACAAACCCCTCTGTATCACAGAGACTGTGATAAGCATGCTGAAATATAAAGAGACAGTCACTGAAAATCTAATGGGGATTTTCTAATAACTTTTAAAATATCTTGTTTAATTCAAACAATGATTTACAGTTAGCTACACTCACAATTAAGGATGAGAGCAGATAAAATGGAATATCGCAAGACTGAAAAAAGAGGGAGGAGAAATATGAGCATTTGTGGATGCATCTTAACTCATGTATGGATAAGAGATGAGTTTATAAAATTATGAAGAGTTTATAAAACTGAAAGCCCCAGCATGACCTCTCTCCAGGAATTTTAGGGAGTTTTTACCTGCTTAGTTTTAAATGTTCATCTTCTCTCTTTGTAGAAATTAATAACATCTACAGCTATTTGTAGTTTTCACAAACTGCAGAAGAGGTGGTCAACCTTTTTGCATTGTTTCCGGAAGGGTAGCTGTGCTAATCTGTTGTAACAAAAGCAACAAAAAGTCTTGTGGAACAAAGACTATCACATATATTGTAGAATTATGTTTTCATGGAGTCTTCATATGAACGCCCAGGTTGGTGGAGTGGGGAAGAGTAAAGAGGGCAGCAGGAAAGCAAATGGAAACACCAACAGTGGCAATCATCTATACCACAGTTCCTCAACCTCAGCAACTTTAAGATGGGTGGACTTCAACTCCCAGAATTCTCCAGCCAGCCATGCTGGCTGGGGA